TAATACACTGCTTACACATAAAATCAGGATTGTGTCAGGTGACTCGCACAATGTGTATATATTTATACACACACACATATTTTACACATCTTACACCTATTTTTGGAGAGTCAGACCGCACATTTCTGTAAGAAGGCCAGGCTTATTGGAAGAAACACTGTGCCAGAAACTAGAAACAGGTTGTGGAAGGTGAAAAGATCTTTTTTACTAGCAAGCAGATATTCTTAAGAGTTCAAACTGTTAGCTACCCTATCACAGCCACACTTTTATGAATTTAGTAAGACAGTTTTCTATGTCTGCTACTTTTTAAGAAATCATTAAAAACCAGTTTCCTACGTCAGTAATGCTAAATATTTCACTTCCAAATGGTAAATATAATTCCCGTATCAGAAAATTAGTTCAAATTTCTCAGTCCGACTGTCACCAACAATTATTTCAGGTTTTAGCTCTAAACAGGTTTAAGGAAAGAACCAAAAAGTTGAAGTTTTGGAAAAGGAAGGAAGGAAGGAAACGAGGGAGGGAGGGAAGGAGGGAGGGACAGAGGGAGGAAGGAAGGAAGGAAGGTAGGTAGGAAGGCAGGAAGGGAAAAAACAGCTCAGAGCATGAAACAGAAATTACATGATATTCTGAAATTTGTCCAAAACCTCCTGGCCAGCCTTAACGTTTCTCTGAAGCAGGATCCCTGGAGTTATCAGAGTAACAAAGAAAACACAGCCACTGGTTCCTAGGTGTGGGGGCACATTCTGCAACTTGCAGATTTTTAATGTCCCGCTCTAGGAACCAGAAGAGTTTTAACACTTTTGGGGGGGGACGCCGACTCACAAGGAGTCCCGATTATCCTTATGCTGTGGGTCACAGGCCAGCAGTTTCATTGACAGCTTGGAGAACTAAAACTGATTAGACTCGGATGTATTCATCCAGGTTTTACTTTTGTTATTGTAGAAAAGGTTGCAGTCACCCCATCATTTTGCAATTGCTGTCCCTAAGCGGGTTGCAGTGAGACCAGTTTCAGAAGCACCAGCTTCCACTGTATACCAGCATGCTCTGACTTGCCGCGCTAACGTTGGTGAACTCATTTAACTGTTAATTGGATTGAATGCACATAAATTCCTGTTGTAATGAACAATTATGAGAGCTTCAAGGGAGGTTCCAGATGCTCACTCAGAACTGGACTGAAAGGAGATGCACAGTAACCACCACATCTGCTACCTTTCCTCTCCGACCTAAGCTTGTCTTTTCTTCAAGTGCAATACCAGACATACCTGATTACTTGCCTTAGAGCTGGCAAAAGCAGCAAAATATAAATGACTGAAGGGGTCTCACCCAAGACTATCGCTTTCATTATGCTTATCAAATCATGATGGATACAGCTTATGGGACAACTGTATATAAAAGAACAAAATCTATGCAGAAATATCTAAAAAATTTGCACCTCCATGAATCCACTCAAGTACACGAGCCTCTGCAAAGAACAAAGACTAATGAAATCTGACATTAATCTACATTAAAGATTCAGTGATTCAGTTTATTTGCCAAGGCTCAATGATGCATTAATCCTCAACCCATCCCACACACACTCACATGTTTCCTCCCTGGCTTTTCTCTCTTGCTCCCTAAATTCTGAAACAGCAGACAGCAGGGCTGCTCATGGCCTTGTCTGCATCCATAAGTTATCTTACTTTAAGTATGCAATTCTCCTTGTGTGGTTACAATTATGCTAGGACAAGCAAGCCTCCACCAACACAGCCTGGAAAAGGCAGAGGTCTTGTCTACACTGCTTAAACGAGTATATCTTCCAGTCAGCACATGGGTGACTTATACCAACAAAGAAAGTCTCCTATGAGCTCACAGCTTAGCAAGCTGCCCTGATTTGGTTACAGCAGGCACAGCACAGCTATGAGTTTGGTAAAGAAGCAAAAATCAAAAATCTTGATCAAAACAGTTACAGCACTACCAGGCACATGAGCAGACTCACTCATACTGGAAGACTGGTTAAGAAAGCCTGTGCATGTAAAAAACAAACCCAGGCAGTACACACAGTCCAGCAAAAATCCCTGTGTAGATACAGCTACATGTTTCCTCTGGAGAGAATCAGCCTGCATAGGTTTGCCAGCAAAACCTCCTGAAGATGTAAGCAAGGTCTGGTCCCTCTTTGTGGATGATGCTTTGGAACTCTCCTGTAACTCCTTATCATGCTTGACAGAGAAACTCATTCATCCTTCTACATTTAACACTATATTTCTATGATCTTCCCTTGCTGGTAACCTTCCACACGCAGAATCAATGTTTAACCACGTGCAGCAGCTGAGAGCTCGCTCCCCTTACAACAAACCATCTTCAGTGCCACACAGTGTTTTACAACCTCGGCATCACTGCACACACTGCCATCAAACATTATCTAGTCTAGCGCTCACTAGAACTTTTTATGATTATTTGTGCAATGCTACGCTGTCATAACAGCATGCAAACCCTGTGATTCGTAACTCTTCCAGCAGTAACAATCCTTCCTGCAGATCAGCCTCTGAAAAACAGCTTTTAAGTTACTTGACACTGACCTTGAACTACACTCTGCCCTACTGAACAGGAGAAGTGGGTCCTGGTTTTATGCCATTTAGAAACTGGGGAGATGTCACTTCTGCAGGCAGAAAGCACTACCTCTAGTCTCTCTGTACAGACATCTCATCAGAACAGCACTGAGAGATCCCAAAAGGTTTGGCCAAGAGAACTTAAAATCTTAGGTGAGGTAAAGCACTAAATTCACATGGAGGTGAATAGAATCATATGATACATGCCACAAGATGGGAATGAACACCCACTGCTTGGAGCCTGCTGGTGGAAGGAAAATGGTCCTTTTTGACAATCACCACCTCTTTTCTCTTAATTACCTCTTCAGTATCCCACTAATTTGAGTGGCACTTAAGCAGAAGTTAGTTACAGATTCTGCAGACCCCCAAGAGAAAAATGCATGGAAAACACATTATCGCTTTCATTTCTTGAAGGGGTGTCAAAAGTCCCATAAGAAACAGGCAATGTCATAGTGAGACAATGGACCCTCTAGGCCAAGACTTCTTATACATAGAGTCTAGTTTCAAATGACAGTACATGACAACAGAACCGAGAGGACACCATCTTCATTTTAAGGTTTAACATACCCTCATGTACTTCTTCCTCAAACACTACGCACCAGGATAATCAACACTTGTAACTTACTTTCCTTTTTCCAAGCAAGTAAAATCACAGAATTCTCTACTGGCTGGAGGAACGGTGAAGTGTGGGACTAGCAGCCTGCAAGAACATTACTTTCACAAGACAAATGTTGCTGCCCCTCATTTGTGTTGTGACAGTGTTTCCAAGCATCAGCTCTGCAATAGGCTCTTACAAGCTAGGTACTGCAAAAGCTTCAGAAGAATTAGCTTTCTATCTGAAATACTCAGCTATGATGTGCCAGGTTAACCCAATCAACCAAAATGAAAAAGCCAAAAAAGCACTGACACCCCACCTCATTACCACACACGAAATCCTATCTCTAGCTTGCCTCGACTAACTGTCCCCCTGGTCTGGTGATCAAATCCAGTGGCTAGAGAGGATGCTATCAACTAACCTAACTGAAAAGGTGTACCTCCACATATTTGAAGGTGATTGTGGTGAAGCCTATTAACACACTGACAGAAGAAAGATCTCATGGTGTGGGCTCACATAGCAGAAGGAAGTGAGACAGCTCTTTTCCTCATACAGCTGTACTCATGACGAAAAAGGGACATGGCGTAGTACTAAATGCATACGGCTCTAAAGCCATATCTTAAAATTCATGGACCTGTCAGCTGTTGCCCCAGGAGGCCTCTGCATTCTCAGAAGGACCTTTCCATGAAAAAAGCATCTAATGATAGAAAAGCCTCACTGAAGGTGATGTGGACTGCTACAATAACTGTAATCACCCTAGTCTTAGTTTCAGCTCCTCGGTATTAGAAGTTAAAATCCCTTTTCAGAGTTGGTCCCTGTGCCAGAACTGCTCTTGTCTGTCAGCAAATGGGATGACCCACCCGTTCCCTTCAGACAGGAGGTTTTGGTGGACATTTAATCTTTCATTGCTTCACACACAGCCTTTGCAGAAGGCAGCCTGCTCTCTCTTGATGCTCTACAGAAGAGGTCTGTCCTCTCCTGCCCTTAGACAAGGGACACGAGCATACGCAGCCTCTCAGGGTATAGCCTCCCGAGGTCCATCTCGGACAGAAAAGCACCACTGCAGCCCAAGACCAAACAGCCTCAGGCTCACTGAAATGGCTCGATTTACTTTGCCAAGAATCCCTGCCTTGGCAGATTTCCCCTTCTTCCAGTCTCCAACTGGTACTGAGTTGAAGGCTACAATTATCAAGTCCTAGAGTGAGAGGGCTTGGTTGGTTTTACAGCCTACCTAACGAAGTACACAGAGCTCTGGTGTGAACGTCTCAGGCACAGCCTGTAAGCTGAACTACCCAAGTTGAAGCGCAAGCCGTGGAGCTGACACTGCCAGAACACACCATTAGCAACATGCCATGTCACATTCAACTGACTGCCACCAAACCACTGCACAACAGCATGGTCTCCTGAGTCACTTCAGGACCTTGGATGTGAAAGATGGAAAAGAACAGATTCCTGAGGAGCAAACCCTCTCAGAAATGACACCTGAAGCTCCCAGGATGCTACGCTGGGTAATTCAGTTGGACTGCTTTCCTGAAAACAGCTCATAACCTACTACGACATAGCTCAGAAGATAAAATTAAGTGGGTGCCCTTTATCTGTGCTTGTGGCAACCTACCTACATCTCTATCATTGCTTTCATTGTGCTGCGTCATAACCACCCATTTCATCTAACCTTCCTAACATGGGTTCTAATGCCACCCTGGAATCTGGTTCTGGTTTTGCACCACCATGAAACCAGCAAACAGGAGATCAGAATCAGGCCCAAGAAACAGCTTATTGTTCACCTCACTCTTCCGTGTAATGCCTCTGTAACATCATACCTGCCACTGTTTTCCTGACTGGCTTGGCACGTATGTTGCCGGGACGCTTCGAAGGCTGTTTTTCACGGCTGACCCTACAATCGTACCCCCTGTCTCACTTGAAGAAGGCTCACTGGCTACTGCCATTTGGTACTGGGAGTAGTTGTACAGGTTGTTATAGTAAGGATACAGGGACGGCTGGTAAAAACTGCTGTAGTAGGTGGAGTCCACAACCAAATCAGACGTGCTCTCCAAGTGCCCTCTGCTGGGGATGGAAGGGATGTCCTGAACGAGCATCCGTCCCTCTGGAAAAGAAAAAAGAAAAAGCCATTATGAAACAGGAGGCTCCATGAAGTCCATTACCTTTCACCTTCGTATGAGCCACTACTCCTGAAGGCTGGACAGACACTAGTAAATAGGAAGAGATGGGAGCTGGAAGGGAAACACGGCTGGACATTTGGCGGAAACTCAAGTGGAGTGATGTCTACTCAAGGCCCGAGACCATCACCGACACACACCACAAAGTACAAAACAGGACACAAAACCAACTGCGGGTTAAAACAATGCTCTGCATCTTCAAGTAGCATCAGCTGATCTGATGATGATTTACACCAGCTGGATATAGTATGCCAAGTCTCTTTTAACTCCCGGGAAGCCAAAAGGCTCTAGCTATAGGATGACTCCTCTCCAGTCAGCATCCTGCAGTTGAGAGGACACTTTCTGAACATGCTTCTAGAAAGACCAAACCACCACAAGGCCAAGAGAATGCACTGCATGATCAGCTAAGGTGTCTCAGAAAACCACATGCTACCTCAATCCTTGCTCAGCCTCCACACCCTAATTTAGCTCCTGTTTACCTGCAAAATCACAGAGCAGAACGAGCTCCCACACCACTGGCAAAAGAGGAGGAGGAGGGGATTGTTCATGACTTGCTGCCTACACCCTGCAGTGCCTCCAGGCCGGAGGCCGGCCAGTCACACTCCCCACAGGCTGTCCCTGCAAAGGTCTGCCTCTCCTGTCATTCCCTATGAGGGAATTTCTCAGACGATATTTTAACTCTTGTCTTCCTCACTCCGGTGTCAACCAGTGCCTTGTGGTATTTGCAAGGAAGGTGCTTGTCAGTACTGTTTCACAGCCAAGTTCTCTCTCACACACGGCATCAACCACCTGGCTGAGACAGACACAGCAAAAAACTGCCACAACCTTAGAAAGTCTGACCATATGGTGAATATACATTTACATACTAAACAAGGAGCAACTGTTAAGTCCCACCATCCCTGCAGCTCTGGGCCTAGCTTGCACGCCTGTAACCCTGCCCTGCACCAACCGTTACAGTGTCTGTAGCATAATGATCCCTTCCGCAGGGAGCTCCTGTGCCTCCCATGATGTCGTCTAACTCTACCATGGAGGAGAAAAAGATGTGGCCTAAAGCATACTGATGAGCTCTCAAGGGATGTCAGTACGGAGATGAGGCAGCATGGACAATATGCACGTATGAAACAACAGCCCAAGAGAGATGTCAGTTTATTTCAATGCCTAGTTTATTTTGCATCTTTCTCTTAGTGTATCTGTACCTTGGTTACTTAACTGTAAAATGAGTATGGTGGCATTTACCAGCTTCTCAGAGCCACGGCAACCACCTACCTGTACTGTGTATTAGCTGCACACTAGATCCAATGATCAGTTTTAACAATTACTGCCATTTACAATGCAATTCTGATTCACTTCTTCAGCTGCAATTAATGCTCTCTGCAGTCATGGATAGCCTCCTTCCAGGTCACTACATTATACAGTGCCCCTCCGATTCAGTTCTTGCTGACACTTTGTTGATATGAATTAACTATGTCCATTTATTAGCAAACAGATTGTTTTATGCCTCCTGCATCTGATTTTTCTGCCCCTCAGACCTATGCAAGAGAGAACCAAGCCAGCTGGCTTTTTTCATTGGGAGCACCTCTCAAATTTGCACACAGAACAGAGGAGTCTGCAATGCCACAAAAAGACCCTTCACAGTTTTTGCACTTTCATATTTTAATGAAATTTTATTACCACTATTATTCTGCTTCTGGGCAGGCCTCTCTTCAAGTCCTTTTGTCTGTGTTAAAATCAGAACTTAGACCACGGGCACTGAAAAGCCAACAATTCTGATAATCACAGCACAAACTTGACTCCCTTCCACAGACTTCACTCCTGAATAGAGCTGCGGTCCAATTGTTCTGCTTTTCATGCTGCAAAATAGAGGCTGAAAGCAAAATCCTCCACCACTTTCCCTGCTGGGATACAGATTTTACATGAAATGGAGATATGCAAGGCAGCTGGCCGCAGAACTTCTGGCAGGGCTATGCTATGCTGCACAGATATGCAATTTCTTCCAAAACCTCTGCAACGTCCTTCCACTTGCAGTGCATCATAAGAAGGGATAATACTTTCTGCTAAAAATACTAGCACCAGGAAGATGGGGTCTCTACACCTATGTAAGAAAGGTGAGCACCCTGAGGTGTCAGCAGCTGAAAGGAAGAGGGGGAGAAAGTAGCAGGTTTTGCTGCAGCTTTTGGAAAGGTCTCATACATTACACCTCCAAACATGGGACAAGATGGGCTAGGCTAGAACAGAGACCTGCCCATAGCCATCTACACAATCATACAAGCATCCTTGATGTCCCTGTGATCTTCCAGTGGCTGGTAGTGCTACAGCTCCTTCCTGAAGAAAAACCAGTGGTGGCAGTCTTCTGCTGCATTAAGTATGATGAAAAAAAGATGCTTTTTACCCCTTCTTTTCTCTTTCTACCCCCATCTGTGGTTGGGGCTACCATCACTTGCCACTGGACGTGCAAAAGAATTGACTTGCTGCCACCTGTTTTTCCTTTATCTAGCTGCACAACAGCCGCCAGTGGTTCACTGCTGAGGGCTGTTACAAACCCACAAGAATAGTCCTCTGCTTTCCTTCTGCTGTCCCTCCACTCTCTCATAGCCTCTACAGCACTATCAGCTGCCCTCTCAAGACTCAACATTGAGCTGGTCACCTGTTCATTCAGCCACCTATGCACCCATACACATAAATCCCCAGGCGTCAGGAGTCTGGGGCATTTTTCTCTTATAAACACAGAATTATGGAACCATGGTCCTTGTAACATCCCTGGTACAGAACCCTTCTGAGCTGTGGCCACACCACAGGGATGTGCCCCAGCAGATTAGCAATAAAAATAGGAGCAAGGGGAAAGGGAAAAGTTAAAGGACAGACACAGTCAGCTCCATACAGAAGTAGGACTCCTGTGATAGTGCTGGGAAGACAGCCGGAAGAGTTAATTTTCCCTAAATCCCAAGGCACGTCATGCTTCTGAAGATGGAAGGACTGGCAGCATCTGATGAAGAGCAGGTAAAAGCTGCTACATGCTTCACACTTTCTTCCAAATTTATGAGATGAGTTTTCTTTGATGTCATGCTCTGGGACAAGTCTCTGGTTTTTTTCTGTAGCATCTAGAGGAGATTTGGTGCTTCACCTAGGAGAAGGGAGACATCTCATACAAGACATAGCTTGGTGCCATCTGGACTGTGGCTGGACATCAGGTCAGACCAAGTCAAAACACCCCATGGGTTACTCTAAACTCCCTGCAGTCTTGAACCAGCCAGCTCAAGGGAAGGATGCTCTGGAGAGCTAAGCTTTTGCAGGTCTTCAGTGACTCTGGCATGCAACGGGTAAAGGGCAGGTCTGCAGTCCAGCTCTATGCTCTTACCCCACCCAGCCTGGCTGAATCATGTCATCTCCTACTGCTAATGCATACATCATACATATACAACACATACAGAACATACACAACTGTAAATACATTAATTTTTTTCTGCTATTAATGGAGAAAGCCCTGAAAGTCTTGACTTTTTTTCTGAGCAATGAAAACTCAGAAAGAAAAGCAGGTCAGACCAGCCAGTACCTACATGGTGTACTTTCACAGAAGTCCTCAGTGCCAAGGGGAGCAGAATTATAAGCCAAAGAACCTTGCTAAACTGTCCTAGGGACAAAACAAGGCACTTGGAGATTTGCCCAGAGAAGATTTCATGTTTATTGTATGCCATGGGGAGTTTTTGCCCTATCCATGCTGGTTCTCTCCAGCTGAAGTCTGCTAGCCAGCTGGCAGGCAAGTACACTGCTTCTGGGTTGCAGCATCCTCAGGCACGGCCACTGTTTGTAGAATAGGGCAGATCTATTGGAAGCAGTGGCTGTAACTAACTTTAACTAACAGGGGTTCCTCTGGTTGGTCTTTGGCCTATACCTGTAATTCCTGACTCCTACCTATAGGCTGAACCTCCCTACAGCCTCACCTCTGGCCACCCAACAGGCAAGGCGTCCTCCTCAAGGGAGGCTGTCAGCCAGTAGCTGCATTTTCTGCCAGCAAGGAGAGAATACAGAGGTCAAGAAAGCAGCTTTCAGCTGGTTTGGGTTTTTTTTCCCCAAATGTAATTCAACACAGATGAATGGCTCTGCTGGCAAGGAGAGGGTCCTCCCCTGCCTCAGAGCCTGCTGCATGACAACACCTGCACATGAGGGGCAGCGCTGAGGTTCATTGCTCTAAGGGCAGTGATTTGAGAGGAATTAAGCACTCAACAATGCAACCACTGCTGCACCGTCAGGTTCCCACTCTTCCCCTCCACCTGCCCTTTAAAACAAGAGGGCTGTTGCATGAGCTGGGCTCACGCCTTGGCTGTCTTCACCCTCCACATGGAAAAACTGGCAAGGGCTCCTGGGTCTTTCTCCTGCCACTAGCCACAAATTTTAACACTTTGCAAGTTGCAAACAGGACATGATGAAAAATATGGCACTGAACCTGTACAAGAAGGAACAGAAATTAGAAGAGCAAAACAAAAGAAGAGTGGTTAAAATTCTCGCTCAGTTTTTGGAATGCCAAATCTATAATGTAGGGCCATCAGAGGCTCTCCATGTGTGAGCAACGCTTTCGCAGCGGGACAACAGTATCCCTTCATGCACTGTGCCCTTGGATCTCTCAGCTCTTTTCTATGTCTTTACTAACTCCTGTACAGAACTGATGCTACTTTTTTTGCACTATGTACACAGTGTGAAATATGGCCCACTCTTTCATAGAAGATCAATATGATGCACGATAAATACTGTTATTGATCTTGCAGTGTTGTAGACGACGCTCCAGCTCTATGGCATATTAATAGTAGTTAACCAGTAATTCATTTCAGGACAGCTGGGATTTTCTTTTAAGGAAGGTGTGTTCTTGGGGTCAGTTACACATATGGGTCTTACACATTCAGTAACCTACAAGGGGCTCCTGCCTTCACTTAGCAGAGCATGGTGAAAAACAGTGTTCCAGTCCTCAGTTAATGTAAACCAGCCTCAGACCATTTGCTTTAATCAAGCTATGGTGATTTGCACGAACTGTGGATATGCATGGCAAAATCAACACAGAAGCCAGTCTATTGATCATTCCTTCCCTTC